TAACGGAATCTTATGCAAATGTAACCGAAGAGGTTTCTGCGGCGACTGTACCAAAACTTAAGTCCTATTCTGCAAACTGTTAATACGTTTATCGATTGTATTTCTCTCACTCACTCCTGGTGTGGCATCTAGGTGAGAAAGAGAGATAGATAGAGTGGGTTTTGTAGAAATAGGTTTCCGAAATAGGACCCTCCGTATCGGTACACTGAATTATCGTATTTTAGGAATGCAGCCAATTTGAACGAAATTGTGGTTCGCGGCGAACACAGCCACTGATTCCAGTTTAAACTAAAATCTTTTGTTGGAGGCGCTGGTTTATTGCGCGTAGTTTCGAAGAGAAAAGTATTTTGTGCTAGATTTTTAACATCGATAGAACGGGGATTGGGGAGGTACAAGAATTTTACAGTTTGCTGAACTTAAACAACTTATTTTATGGAGTAGGACATTGCAATAGGAACCTACTTACTTGACTATTTTTAGACAAGATGAGCTTAGTATTTCATTTTCTGACTCATTGAATTATTCCTATTCAGTCCGCAGTACTTAGGTAAGTATATTTAATTTATTAAATGAAACATCATGCAAACCGTTCGAGAATAAAAGCAATTTGTTTTAATAGTCTACAATTAAGCAATACAGTGTGAGTCACGTTAAAGTGTACATATGAAAATATATGAAACTAGACCTATTTTTATCGACAAAAAAGAGGTCAAAAAATTTTTGAGATTTTTTTTTAATTTTTTAATGAATTTTTTTTCTTCAGACTTTTCAAAAAGTATCATTTTTTATTATTTGTTGGCATTTTTTGTGTGTTTTATGTATTTTTTTAGTATTGCCTGTTATTTAGCATTATTACTGTTTTTATTTTATCAGGATATACCGCTTAGTTTAAAAGTTATTACGTTTTCTATACAATAAGTAATTGAAAGAAAAAAAAATACATAAAAAATTAAAAAAAAATCCCAAAAATTTTTTTACCTCTTTTTTGTCGATAAAAATAGGTCTAGTTTCATCTATTTTCATATGTACACTTTAACGTGACTCACACTGTATAATGATCATGATCTACGGCGTCAAATAAGATCTCCCTTCTAAAAAATACTCTAATTACTAATTTCGGCCTGGTAGAACCTACAATAATTGCCGTTAATGTACTTAAGACGGAAATTAGTCATTACATAATTTCATAAAATTATTCCTACTCTACCTAAGTTACTATAAAGCTCTACTTTTTGTTTCATAAAGGCATCTAACATTTATAATCACCCCCTTTTTCCCCGTTTTACCCCTTTTTTCCCGTTCTACCCCTTTAGGGGTTGAATTTTGCAAAATCCCGTCTTAGTAAGCACTTACGTTCTAAAAGGAACCCCCATGCAAAATTTGAGACTCCTAGCACTTGTAATTTCTGAGATTTCGTGACGAGTGAGTGAGTCAGTCACCTTTCGCTTTTATAGATTAATATTGGATGATNACAGCGTGGTAGGGGTGGGGTTGCCCGCTCTTTTGTTTTTTAATACTACTACGCTGAATATTGTGTGCGGATTGGGTTGTCGTACAGGGGTACTACATGGTAAAATAAATCTCGGAGGCGAAAGCAGGATAATAGTAGATAATATGTAATATCTTTTCTCACTTATAGTTAACAGTCTCCTAACAAATACGCATGTCATACATACATAGTCATAGTAAGTAAATAAAGCCATAGTTTGTGATAGACAATCGTGGACAACAAAAGAAGTGTCGTGACACAGGGCGCGGCGTGCAATCTGCGCTGGACACGGCAAACACGGCCCGGCTGATTACAGCACCCATTGGGTAGGGTCAGCAAAAACATACTTGTGGGGCTAAAATGTTACTTATTATTACTTACATATCTAACTACGAATAGTAAGACCTATTGTTACCTACGTATTCAGAGGTCCCGGGTTTGATTCCCAATGAGGGAATAATTTCTGCTCGGTTTGGTTGGTGGTGGGGCTTGCTACCAAGGCCGCTTGGCTAACTACCACTATTTATACAGAATATTGTTAAGGCTGAGTTGCACCACCAAACTTTAACGGTGACTTTAACGATAACCGGTGTTTTCTGTATGGAGTTTGACAGATTTTTGACGTTTGTTAAAGTTAAACTAAGATGGTGCAACTCAGCCTAAGTTTGTCGCAACAAAAATATATCAACTTGGTTATTTGTTTGTCCAGAATTGAGAAACATTGAAGGCTTGAATTAACCAAATTATTCGAATAGAAACCTGAAACCGTATTTTGGAGGGTACTTTAACTTTTCAACTATACAGTGTTTCTCTTTGAATTTTACGGATATAAGTAACTTTTTTGCTGTCAGTACTTACTGACTAACGAACTGATTGCCAAACGACGAAATGCGAGATTTCATTAATGTGCAATGAAAAAATTAAGAGGCCTATTTTCTTCTTTTCGAATTCCTTGATCATTCATTCAATAAAATGTTATAAGAAAATCGTTAATGTTATAAAAATTCAGTCATTATTTATTTTCTCAGATTTGGCGGCCCTAATTTAGATATTGGGGTATATAGGACTTGTAATAATATAAACTCTTAGGCGGTTATCACACTGCGCCGCGCTCCGCCGCGGAGCGCGTGATTTCATATAAAAAATCCCGCGTGCAGACGCGTTGTCAGTGTGTTGTGCCGCACGTGTTTTCTATACAAACTGAGGTACTTGCATACAATGATTAAATCTGTCGTCCCGCGGCGGAGCGCGGCGCAGTGTGATAACCGCCTTAAAATTTACAACATACTCTTTGTCATCATAAAAATCACAAAATACCGAAAATACAATGCGGCTTTATATCCTTCACAGCGAACACTCACAAATCATTACCAATGTGACAATTTTATTGTAGTATTTGTAGAGAAAATACATTAATTGGCGCCTTTCCAACCAAATGAATTCACGTTTAACCGTAGCATCACCATATTGATTCGATCGGACGTTTTAAATAATTACCGACAGGAGTTCGTTTGCTGAATCCGCGTCAGTCAATTGCGTAAATGACCTTTTAAAATATGCACGCCGCTGTGTATTTTGGAAGCAATGAAAAAATCGTTAGTATTGTCATAAAAGATTTTATGGAAAAAAGTTAAAGTACATTTATTCAATGATTCAATGGAACACGTTATGGCTCGAATATGTTTTCAGGAGATATTTTAAGTTGTTCAACAGCAAACTACTGCCACTTTATTATCTGTTTCACTTATGTGTGATCATAAAAACGGTGTCAGAAACGTTAAAGTTGATTCTTATCTAGTTAATGTTTGTTATAAAACGACTAGCGTTTAGACATCTAGTGTAAATATTTGGCATTTGTAGTACCTATATGGAAGTTCAGACTGAGTTGCAGATCATCAAAAGCGTATTATGGAGTGTTACTAAGATATAGGTACACTTATTAGAGCTACTTGTTTAAACTAGAAAAATAATAGAACAATATCAATTTAACAAAAGCCATATTTACCTTACATAGAGTATAAGCTTGTTGGTAGTCTTTTTGTAAATAACAAATTTAAATAAAAATAAATAATATCAAATACTTTGTATAAACAAAGTTAATAACTAAGTGTAAAGTGATAAGTTGCTTAAGTAGGTAAATTGGAATGCAGGCCGGGTTTTGTGAGAGTAATTTTACCCTTAAAAGTACATAATTCATTATGTTTAATTCAGCTTTGTGTTCCATGGTGTATGTTTCAGAAAATTCATATTTACATTTACATAAGGTCAAATATTGTTTCGTGTTAACGATCAATCCCGCGGGAGCTCTTCAACTGATATTAATGAAGTACCGGTTACTTAGTAAATTGCTTTCGATATGTTTGTTATCCATCTCTTTTACGCCTTGAAATACTGATATGAGTGAAAGAGCTAGAGATATATGCTTTATCGTTTATACTCGTATGCTCGCAAAATATTTTATAATTATTATTTTATTTATACAGCTCGTATTAATGTTACATACTATGTTTTCATTAAAACATTTTTTTATTTATCTTTGAAATAAACACCAGATATCACGTCTCGTTAATATTTCGATACTTTTACCTTTTAATATTACTTACTGAATTCATTTTCTGAATACTTTTCCTGGAACACTTTTTTGATATGAAAAGTTATTAAGTTCACAGTATTTTCACGTTTTATTGAAATGTTATTTCCATCATTTGCGGAACATAACGGTATAATAACGGTTATTATAACGGTATTTACGGGTTCCCGGCGCGAAGGGGCGCACCAAAAATATTTGATTTCAAAAAGCATTTGCGATGAAACGACCTGATTCCCCGTCTTCAAATATACAAAGGAAATTAATTATTTCGCAAGGAAATAAAGTCTATCGAAATTAAGACGACGATCTTAAAGGATACCTTTCAAGTCAACGATGAATATCTTTAAAATCTTTTTCATTCTACTGAATTAGGCAAACATTACGTAATACATTTTGTTATGGTTGGAACTGTTATTGTAAATAAGGCATTTTTCGAGCAAATTAGTGTGTGATAAAGATTANGCTGATTGGCGATAATAATAAAAAAAAAAAAAAAAAAAAAAAAAAAAAAAAAAAAAATGTCTACCGACGAATGTCTTGTGTTTGGTGAACAATTATTAAATCCGTGCGCCCTACATTTATTTTATAAATAATTGAAATACCTTGTTTCTCATTTTAAGTGAAATGTACAATTTCTTTTGAGAAATAAATTCTTAAACCTTAAACCTTAAGTTTTGAGGGAATCAAGACTTGTTGATTGTTGACACAATTTTGTAGATAACATAAGCACATACAATTTAACTTATCTTATTTTCTAGGAAGGTTATCTTTAAGTATTTCAGGTTGGAGTCTAGCTATTAAGGTACTTTTCACACGTACAGTTCACATAAAAAATATCTTAATATTTCACGTTGTTCTGTATGAAATGGTATGGATTTTTAATGCAAGGAAATTTTTGACGTCGATTGTACTAAGGTGTTTTTACCTCGGAATACACGGCGGGGAATACCGGCCGTCCACTTCGTCGCTCTCGGCCTCCTTTTGTTCGCCGTGAATGACGGCTATGGCGAGACGGAGACGCTCGGCGTATGAGGTTGCCTTTTTAGCCGATCCTGGGTTGCGGGCGACGATTACCGAATTCCGATAGTCAGGAATCTGTGAAAACAAACAGTGATAAAAATATCGTAAATGAGCTTTCTTTAGTTATTGAAATAAATAAAACTACATTTTTTTATTCACACATTCAAACAGGAACACACAGTCAAACATTTGTTTCTTTCGAAGCAGCAAATGACTTACAATAAAGTCAAAACACAATACTTACACTTTCTTGAATGTACTGAAGCAAGAATGGAGAAGCCCTCAAATTGTCCACTGGACACTCATAAAAGCCCTGAATCTCTTTCTGGTGCAGGTCCATAGTAATTATGTGGGTCAGGCCTGACTTGCACATCATCTTCGCAAGGAGTTTAGTGACAATGCATCCACGCTTCCTCATTTTGCACTGCTTGCTGTATGGCAAATATGGAATGACACCAACAATAGATCTTGCCGAGGAAGTCTTGCAGGCATATGCCATGATCAGTAGTTCCATTATGTTATTGTTCACATCTCTGAAAGTAAAGTAAGTCATTAAAAATGTTTTCTTACTGTTGTAAATTAATTCCAATTGGAAATTAAGTTGCAACAATAATATTGTTTTTGTTATGAAAGTACATACAGTATTTTGATTACCTACTACCAAGAAACAATCAATCAACAATGTAACAACAAACACATCATTGACTAGGAATGTAGTTGTTTTGTGTCAGTTCTTTGAAATGAAACAGTAGCTGTAATAAACTAGTGACATTTTGTACTACTATTTTGTAGTACTGAAATACCTACAAAATATTTGAAAACAGTAATTCCACTATATTGAGTTAATAGTACTAGGAAAAGAAAAATAGCCAACGCAATACCATAATATAGTAATTGATTGTGAAGAATTCAGTCGCATAAAACAAATAAAAATTGGAAATTTTACTCACTTTGTACCAGTTTGTACTATGTAAATATTCTTCCCACGTATGGAGTCTGCAATCTCCACCATTGTCTCTCTGTTTGTTTTGTGATACACCGAGCATCCTCCTTTGCGGACCCCAAGCCGGCTAAAAAAATATTTTTTCTTTGTATGAGCAAAGTCAATGGGGGTAAATTACAGACGAAGAAAATTTTATACGAGTATAATGTTATACAAATAATAGAAAACGATAGCTCAGGGAACACGTGTATGATAATAACAGAGGAGCTATTTCCATGGAAAAATTGGAGCCTACAAAATAATGTCAAACAATTTAACCTCTACATACAAAATGTCCTCTAGATAGCGTAGTGGCAAGTGGCGGACCAGTAATAGCATTCAAGACTCACTTAGCAATCAATTCCGCAAGCTCCGGGTGCGAATTGCCGCTCAGAATTACTATATCCGACGTGGAGTTACCTTCCATATTGCTCTTTCGGGATCGATTGTTAAATCCCACAAGTCTGCAAAAACGATGTAAATTATTAACTGCAGAGTCCGAAATAAATAAAAAATCACTCAGGCAGGGGGCATCACGTTGGATCAACTAGAAAAACAATAAACCTGGTTTTGTTGAGTAACATAATAACCTGATGGAAGTCTTGTACTATAGGAGAACGAGATTAAGATTTAATCTACAAATAATTCTTGAATGTTGTAATTTCACTGTAACGCGTCTACGAGCAGTCTAATTAGATTTATTTAATTTTAAAACTACAAAAATCAAGACCGTGCTGGACCGTGCCACCATGACAGCACAGACAAAAAAAAGCGACACGTTTTTCATAAATCACTCTAAGTTCAAGGCTCAGCACATAATCATTTGGCCACTACAACATAGCTCGGTGGGACCTTTTTCATTTTCCTCACGAGAAAATTGTAAGTCCACTCGTAAAAATGACATCGTAGATTACACAGAACACGTGTAGATAATATGAAAGAGCAATACTCAACTCAGCCGTGACTCAGCCTCAATTTCAAAAGCAGTTGAAAAGATTCCATGATGGGGACAATGTGGCAGATGAACATAATGCCAGACAAAAATTAAAAAGTATAACTGTCACCGATCGATCCCTCCGCGCACCCCCCCTTCCGCCTCGCCTGTCATTTTCCAAAACATCAACATGTGCTTCATGTGATTATTTTTTTGGTTTTGTGGTTACTTGAATGACAAAATATTAATTAAACATAACAATGGGTCTCACAAAGCAATATTTGCGATATGCTCCAAGTGGTACTTTCAATGTTATAGCCAGTGCCGATTGTAACTGTACACATGTGTCTCTAAATGGAATAAGTGGACGATATTTGGCTGTCGGTGCTTGTGAACATGTTGTTATCTGGGATATGAGACTGGGGGAGAAGGTAAGGATCTTGGAATAGAGTTATACATAACGTAATGATCATAAATACTTCACCCAAAATCCAAGTACCAAGTCACTTTTACGATATAATTTCGTGGTATTTTAGGCTCAAGTGCTGCCAGGAGAGAATGTGGTAGTTTCCCAGATAGCTGCGAGCCCTACTGGGAATCATATGGCGGTGGGATACGTGGACGGCAACATAAACGTGTTTGAGCTAACAAACAATGAAGTGGTGTGTGTGTTTGCCGGACACAAGTCAGCTGTTACCTGTCTACAGTATGACGAGCATGGACACAGATTGGTATCTGGATCTAAGGTAATACTTTAGTGTTTGTTAACACAATTTTAATCTAATTTATTGTAATAAAGTCATGTACTTAAATGATACCATGATACATTAAATTATTTTATTTTTGTAACAGGATACTGAGGTCATCCTGTGGGATGTTGTTTCTGAGACGGGTATAGCCCGGTTTAGTGGGCATAAGGGTATTGTGACAAGTGTCCTTTTCATCAACGGAAAGAACTGCATTGTCAGCTCTTCAAAAGACACATTTGTTAAGTTTTGGGACATTGAAACTAAGCATTGTTTCAAAACATTAGGAGGGCATCAAATGGAGGTAAGTCAACATTGAAATACAGGGTGTTGGAGTAAATTTTAAATTTTTCAACATTTGTTTTTTTTAAATGACGATGAGTTTATTGGCCTCACTTTTTAAAACAGCCAAAAATATTGATACTTCATTATCAACATAAATTTTTTGACTTCATTCAAAACTATATTGCATGTATTATTTTTAAGGTGTGGTCTGCAGTATTACTGAAAGAAGAGAGGTACCTAGTGACAGGCACTGTGCACCAGGAACTCAGGGTGTGGAAACTGAACTGGACCAGTGATGTAAAAGATGAGAACAAGCTTGCCCAACAGCTGGAAATTGTCAAGTTAGAAGAAACAGATGAAGTTGAAGATTCTTCTGTAAGTATTTTATCTATGTTACTGTTATGTAGAATCAACTCAAATGCAAGTTATCATTATTGCTCTTCCAGAAAATGTGCCTGATTTACTCATACTTAAAATAAAATCATATAATTTTATTTCTTTTTTTTTATCTGTCATTTTTTTTACATATTTTTTTAAATATCGAAATATGTTTATTTGTCAGATACCTGTGCTTAATTTGGGACTAAATGGTGCACTGTAATATGTCAAACATTATTTATTTATTCTTATACATTTCTATGGGATTTTTCAGGTACTACAATGTCACCAAGTGGGCACTCTCGTCCGCGGGGGCAAAGGCCGCGTAGTCGGCCTGAACACAGACCTGGGACAAAGTGTACTCGCCTGCTTTGGAACTGACTCCCTGCTTGAACTATTTTCCTTCTGTTCAGATGAGGAAGCTAAAGCCAGGATGGATAAACGTGTAAAGAAACAAAGGAAGAAACTGGCGTGAGTTGATTTGTATAAAATTGCTTTTTTAAGGCCCCGCTTTCGCTATAATAACTTGTAACTGGCTTACATTATTTTATTAATGATGGCACTGTTAACAATAAGAATAAGAATAAATTTATTTCCAGAGAAATGCACTTTAGTTATATAAGTTTACAAAGTAGTTATACTAATAGGAATTCAGGTGACTTACTAGTAGACCCCTAGGTAGTCCTGTCTTTTGGGGACTTAAGTTTGGTACAAATGTGTTTAATATAGAACAAAAATTTAAGACTGCTATAGAATACCTGGTTTTGCAAGTGATTTCAAAAAACTTACCGCAGACAATGTCATGTATGTGTAATATTTTCACAATTCAGGAAGCTCAAAGAAAAAGGCGAGGTAGAACCTGAAGCAACAGAAGTAGCTGAAATTCTGACTCTCTCAGATGAAGTCCGAAGGTTGTCGTCAGTGAAATTAGGCGCGAAAATAAAGTCCGCGTCGGTTCTGGTGGGAACTACTGGGGAAGTGAGAGTCGGCGTCACATTGGCTAACAATTCTGTCGATCTACATAGCTTGAAAATGGACGAGGGTCAGGAAGGTAAGATTACTGTGTCTGTATTAAAAGCAACTTAATTTAAGAATGTTAGTATCTTATTTACCTTGCTTAAATGTTTGCAGTGAAATGTTTGAAACAAATTACGTTACCTGGACACCAGAAAGACCCACTAACTGTAGCCATCAGCTCCGACAATTTAGCAGTACTTTCGGCCTCTGCAGATTCTATCAAGTTATGGAACCGGTAAGTAATTATTTTTTCATGGTATTTTAATTAATATTATGACAATTTCATGTTATATTTTTTATGTAGGATACCTTATTCTTTTTTTGTGTTCAATTTCCTTCGTAAAGTTTGATCGATACAACGACTGTCGCTGAGCGACACTATTAGACTGATACATTCCTTGTAACGAAAATGTATTTTTCAAATGAAATCGTTCATCTCAGAACTTAAAATTCAAAATCAAATGCTTACACATTAACTCGTACTATTGTGTATGTACACTTCTTATAGTTTCTGATTGCGTCAACCATACATATTATACACTTGTGAAAGTCACCCTGTATACACCATTATCATGCTCTCATTTTCAACACAGGCCGAATCAAACCTGCCTTCGCACTATCCCAGTGCCGTGCGGTCGCCCTATGAGCGTTTGTTTCGCGCCCGGCGATAGACACGCGTTAGTAGGCTGCGCGGACGGCTCGCTCCTCGTAGCTGATGTAGGCGCCGGTCGGATATTGGAACAGATACCAGCGCACGAGAACTCGTGTAGCTGTGTGGGACTCACGCCTGACATGGTAAGTGTGGGGGGACTCATCAACGTCATATTGATAGTAGCCATTAAAGTCCGGCGATAGACACGCGTTAGTAGGCTGCGCGGACGGCTCGCTCCTCGTAGCTGATGTAGGCGCCAGTCGGATATTGGAACAGATACCAGCGCATGAGAACTCTTGTAGCTGTGTGGATAGTGATGGGCCAACTCGGGAAAAACAAAACTCGATTTAACCCGAGTTAAAATCCACGTAACTCGGGTTGAACTCGAGTTACGTAACTCGAGTTAACTGGATGGACAAGTCAGTTTTTTACTTAGTTTTACCAGTTTATTCCCTCAGATTCGTATAAACATTTAAAAAGATATCTTTTATAATGTATTGGGAGAATCATACTAACTAAAGTAAGAAAGAAAAAAATATTGTTTGAAATATAATAATTTATTCATGGATTTTTGGCTTGAATTTTAATTTAAAAAAATATTTATATTTATTATCATTTGGCATTTTTCAAAAACAGAACATATAAAACACGAAAATCTACAACAATAACCGGCAGTTTAAAGTTAACTTCAAATGAACATAGTCTCAACACTCAAATGATCGGCAATCTTCGGTCCATGTCGGTTCCATTCGGTTTACGACACGAACTCGAGTCAGAGAGAATTCAACTCGAGTGGGTTCGAGTTACGCCCAACTCGAGTTAACTCGAGTTACCTACTCGAGTTGACCATCACTATGTGGGACTCACGCCTGACATGGTAAGTGTGGGGACGCATCAACGTAATATTGATACTAGACTAGCCATTAGGCCTCAGCCTCGAACTTAGCGGGCAGCGGCGTGGGAGCGGCGGCGGGGCGGGAGCGGCAGGATCTTATGCGTAAAATCAAATAGACCGGTTCTCGAAAACAGCGGCGCGGCAGCGGCGCCGGAGCGGGCAGCGGCGAGAGAGCGGGCAACGAGCGGGCAGCGCACTCCTTCTTTTGCCCACAATAAATAGAGCGTAAGGAATAAATTAGAATCCAAATAAAATTGTCGCCGTTGTTCAGACATTTCGTTCGCGAATAAAAACAAATCGATGGTGGAAATATCAATTACTGTAAGGGACAAAACACGACTTTTCAGGAGAGCCAAAAAACGATTTTTTTTTTCTTTATACCTCAATATCTTTTTATGTGATGTTACGATTTAAATAGTTTCTATGGCAAAGTTTCTTAGAATTTTCTGTTCTTTCATAATATAAACGCCAAATTTTCGAAAAATGGGTAGTTTAAAAGATAGCATGTCCCTTACNATTACCGTGACAAAGTGATCCTATAAGGGTTCCGTTTTTTCCTTTTGAGGTACGGAACCCTAAAAGTAGAGAAACCGTAAGAGATAAGGTGGTATAGTTGTTTTTGATGAACTTGTGTTTTCAAAACATAAAAATTTCTTTCGGTTGCTTCCAATTTTGTAGCTAGAATAATCTAGCTCTAATGTAGCTATGTGTAAATGCTTAGATAGTTTTCGTTCGAACGAAGTACAATAGGTACAATCCAATTATGAGGAAAGAAGAGAGCCCTCACCAAGACAGGCTTCCAAAATGAAGACGGATTGCATTCGACAAAAACCAGTTAGAGGCAGCAATAATACGGGATGGAAACACTCCAAACAGTGGAGAGCTACTCGAGGTGTTAGAATATCTCAATTTTTGAGATAAATTCAAAGGTGTAGACAATAGCACGTTATTATATTCAAGTCTGTTCAATTTCTTTACTTTATCTCATACGGATTGGAATGAAAAGAGATGAAAAGAAAATATGAGAAAATACATAGATGAAAGATAATTAATGTTTATTTCGCATATTTTACCGCTTGTTTGCGCTTTTAAAAATAAATCTCACAAAATGACAGTTGGAATTCCGAATAAGCAATAAGTAAATGAATAGGTACGTACATTACGTACATCGAAGAACTCTATCTTTGGCCACTTATAAATTATACCACAGAAGGTGTCGTGTGTGGCCTCATGCAAATCCAAGGGATCTTTAATAGTGTCAAAGGATTTCAAGTCTTTATTTCAAACTGAGACTCGATACAACGAAGTGAAATCGTAGCGTGTTAGTGAATAGCAAGCCAACAAGCTGTTAATGTCAAGTACTACAATAAAATAGCACCTGTGTGCTACGTGACTCGCAAAGCTCTCGGTCATGTGGCCTGCGCTTTAGTTGAGCAAAAAGGTCACACGTCAAAGCATGTTCTTGATAAGGAACATCGATTGCTCTATTTGACACCCTTTGACGCTAGAAACACTCGCTATTTGTGTGAATTTCAGTAACATTTTGATGAAAATAGAAAATACTAGTGAGGGATAAAAGATATTAGTGAGGAATGAACAAAGGGATATTAGAATGTGCGAGTTAAAAGTCGACAGTGGTCACGACCGTATCTATATTACCACCCCCTTACTAATAAAAATTACACACTTGTTGAACAGTAGTCTAAAGTGACATTTCCATACTAAACGTCACTTTAAACAAGTGTTTAACGAGTGAATAACTTTATTAGCAAGGGGGCCCGTGTCTATATTGTCATCATCACTATTAACTCAATTGCTCTACTTGATACCCTTTGCCGTGCCTAGCGACACACGCTATTTCAGTAAATGGCAATGCCAGATTTTGTATGGAAGGTGGCGTCTTTTTTTTTTCGCGCGGCTTAACCAAACTTTATTTTTTTATTACAAAATAGTGTGATAAACCAATCTTACTATGACATGTATACCTCTAAACTCAGTCTGAACTGAGTTACGAGCATTAGAAGTTTGATGATTTTACATACTACATAGATTTGCTTTCTGCGCGCAAGTTTTGTAAGAAATTGCAACAAAGTACTGACATTGTATGTGTAAACAAACACTATCATCCATTATAGGCTCCAGCCATCAGTGTGGAGCAGAATCAGCGCAATAAAAAAGACGTCACTATTTTGTTGCAATTTCTTACAAAACTTGCGCGCAAAAAGCAAATCTAATATATTATGTAAAATCATCAAACTTCTCATGCTTGTAACTCAGTTAAGACTGAGTTTAGAGGTTTACATGTCATAGTATGTTTGGTTTTTTACACTATTTTGTGACCAAAAAACATGGTTTGGTCGATGGCCGCGCGAAAAAAAAAGGCCAATTTCCGGCATTGTCTTTTAGTAATATTCTCATGAAAATAGTTACTAGTAAGGGTTACAAAGGGATAATATTATTAGAATTTGCGGGTTGAAAGTCGACAGTGGTCATGATCATAACTACATTAGTAGATTCTATGTCATCATCACCATTACGAAACTATTGATGCTTATATTGTAGTTATGTTTTCGGAAATTGCTTGAATTTCTCCATAATTAGATATTATTCAATATCCTATATTTGTCAAAAATGTTAGTTGGTCCATTTTCATAAATTTAGGCTTGTTTTATTAAATTGTTCTTTATTGCTTTATGCCGTTTGTATTGCAGTGCCATAAATTGAAGGAATTACAAGTAAAGCTAAACTGAAGTGTGCAGTGTGTGCACCTTGCATTGTATGAGTAAATGCATTTTAAACCACACAATGCTTGTTCTTTGCTGCCATGCATTTTACGAGACGTAAATCGATAGAAAACTTTGTAAGATGGCTCCACTGTTATAAAATTCTAGATGGTCCAGCAGCATTGTAAATGTTCGTTCGTTCGTTTTGACCGAAAGACGTCCACTGTTGGACAAAGGCTTGCAAAAAGGTAAGGATTTCCACAAAGACCGGTCCTGCGCCGCTCGCATCCAGGCACCTTCCGCGACCCTCACCAGATCGTCGGTCCACCTAGTGGGAGGCGTGCCCACGCTACGTCTTACGGCTCGTGGTGGCCACTCAAGAACTTTCCTGCCCCAGCGGCCATCAGCTCTACGAGCTACCACTATCCACTTGATTTTAGCGATTCTGCGGGCTATGTCAATTTCAATTTCAATGTATTTATTCCAAAAACAAAATAAATTGTATAAGAAAATTTGTTAGACATTAAAATTCACACAATCTGCAATTCAATTAAAATAAAATTAATCTAATTTAACCCTAAAATTTCACATACTAGAATTAATACAACAGTCAGTCACTCTGGTTCTCCTACGGATCTCCTCATTTCTGATTCGATCACGCAGAGAAACTCCGAGCATAGCACGTGAGAGACGTGGTCGCTTACTATGGGCCTCATAAGAAGGCTCAAGGTCACCCAAAGGGCGATGGAAATCTATACTCGAGTACGAATGAATTTACACTAGCTTGTAGGTTGTATCTCTTTTGAATAAGCTCTATCTGAATAGTAAAAAGCATGCAATGATTATCTGTTCTAGAAGTTCTTATTAAAAGTTGCTGTTCTAGTTATTCTAAACCCGTGGGGAGTGCGGTGTCGTAGCGTGAAATTGCGGCGCCGCGAGACATCGTGACACTTCTTTCGTGCAAGTGGCCAGCGCCCCATTCATACCACTGCCTCGGGCTTCGGGTTTGTCTTTGACAATGCGAAGCGTATTATTGCGATTTTGAATTATGAAAGCATTGGCAATGTTATCGAATAAAGGTAATGTGAAACATTGCGCTTTAAGGTGTATTATTCGGTATTTGTACTTCACATTTTGTGGTGTAATTTGCCTTTGCATTATTTAAACGATTGTCATGTCCGTAGTATTGAGACAACTTTTACAATTCCAAAATAAAGCTGGTTAAGAAATACACTTTCGTAATTCTGAATCTTTTATGTTTTCATACCAATTTAATGACTACCATCTTGCACTTAATAAGTATGACTACACATTTTTCAATTGTTCATCATCTCAATTTATCATATTATTAGCACCCCGGGTTTGGTAAAGATCCGAAAATATCAAAATCGATTAGCTATTCTGGCATTTAAAGTCCCTACGGTGAGCTGTAGGATGTAAGCCAATTAATGCTTTTGCCAGCGCCCTAACGAACGGAACGCGATTCGTCCAATTCGAATCTTCGTTTGGATGACACTATGTGCTTAGGCTGCGGTCATACAGAACGCAGAATCAACTGTCGACAGTAAAAGATTCTACTCCATATTCACGCAGAATCGAACCGAATGTTTTTGCAAGTTGTATGCTTGTGAGCATCATAAGTTTATTTAGTTGCCACTGCAAGAACACGACTCTTTAATTTAC